TAACACTCTTAAGCCCAACCCCAACTCAAGATTGTTGTTTTTAGAAAACAGAATCCCACATTAGAATATGGAATAAATGTATATGGCTAGAGGCTTTGTAGCTTCTGAGTCCAGAGAAAGTGATGGGATACTTAGAAAGTCTTAGAAACTGTGCGGTTGATGAGGTTATATTTTTTTTATATATTTGATCAAACATAGTTCTAGATGATGCTGTGACTTTTTTTTTTTTTTTTTTAAAGCTGTGATTAGTAGTTAAATCAGAAGAATTTGAGTAAGATTACCCTTTACGGTAATCTTGGAGCCTTAGAGGAGAGATTTTTGTTGACATTTGAACCTACAGCTTCAGGTCTTGCCTGGGTTCCAGCTCACTGGCGTACCTGAAGATTGTTTGCCTTCACAGCTACATGGATAAATTTTTTTTTTTTTTTTTACCGTTGCTTTGTTTTGAGAAAGGATCCTCATGTAATCGAGGCTGATCTTGGACCTGATGTATAGCAGATGGTGACTTTGAAATACTGATCCTCCTACCTCCATCTTTCAAGTTCTGAGATTACAGGCATGCGCCACTTCATATGGCTATAACATGGCTAAGTTTCCTGAGATCAATGAGCACACATGCACACGAATCCTACAGTTTATGTTTCTCTGTGGCAGGGATAAGGAATTCCTTTTGTGATTTAGACCACCCATTCAATCAAGCGTTCAAAAAAAAAAAAAATCTAATTTCAATTGACCTTGGATTTAGAGCTAGTTTCTTCAAAATTTCTACCATTGTTCAAAATTATATTAAAGGTCAAACGGTTCAAAAATCTTTATGGATAACCTGAAGAGAACCCAAGTTTAGCATTATACATTTTTTTACATAGGAAGAGATGAAACTAAAACACGTAACTAGCTATTGGGTAGTACCAATTAGCCAGTACAGGAACTCATCGCCACCGCATGCTCTGTGACTAACTTTACAGGCTTTAATGTAGTAACCAAACGCTTAGATATTTTTGGTGATAAAAAAATCATTATGCATGGAAATTTCTGCACGACTAGTTGCCATCTTTGTTAGAAAATGTTTGCCTTGTGCGTGTATCTGGGAAATGTATGGTTTGTTGAGAAATGATCTCAAGGCCTTGCACATGCTAAGCAAACCACCTACTCTTTCAGTTGGATCTTATCACAGACTTTATGTGCCATAGCCATACATTCACTATCTCCCCATTAAACACTTGATGCCATTTGACTGCAAGGCAGAAAAGCTTGTCATGTTTCCAGATTTCTTTCTTTCTGATTGTTTTATACTGGTATTTACAGCTGAGCTGTCTGGTGGTCAGCTCCACCAACTATTTCAAAATCTTGACCCAAATTTTACATGTCCAGAGAACATATGGCATCACCATGTATCATAAATTCAGTCTTTTAAAGAAGCATGATAGGAAATCAATCTCTTTCTGTTTTTTTTTTTTTAAACACAATCAGTGCAGAGTAGAAGAAGATGGTGTTGGGGCTAGAGTTATCCAGTGTAGCATTGAGAAACTTTCGTCCTCACTGCCAAAACCTATTGCTAGAACAAAAAGGACAGATGGTGAAAAGAGATTATTCAATCTGGCAGTTACCAGTGATACCAGAGGCAGCTGTTGTAGCTATACAGTTGGAAGACACATCAGGCTTGGAGATGTGAAGGGATTGGTACCGCAGATTCAGAGGCTAAATATGGAGCTTCTGTTACCAGAAGCTCAAACCTTCCAGAGAACTGGCTGGTGGGCGAGGCTGTACATTCTAGAGAAAGAGTGAATAACTAACTGCAGGCATTCAGGGTTGGGAAAAGCAGCAGGGACTGCAGGAAGACGAGGCAAGAGTGTGAGACGTGCTGAGAAGGGCTAACGTGCTTTCCACAGACTGAGTCATAAGGGCAAGGCAGGCAGCATGAGTTGATTCTGGGTCACATGCAGGTAGAGACGAGGAAGAGAGAGACTTGAGTGACTAAATGGGGTCAGAAGGACATCAATACAGGACAATGAAGCAACAAGAATGGTGTGATATCATTGCTATTGCCTCAGCATATTTTGAAATGCATTGAGATGTAGCTTAGGCTAGGAGAAGCAGGAGATTATTTTCTTATCATTCTGGAAGCTACAGGTCCAAAGTCCAGCTGTTGATCAGGTTTGTTTCTTTTGAGGCTTTTGATCCTTGGCTTGTTGATAACTAATGCAAGATCTACTTGCTCTTGTGTGTCTACATCTCTGTCTCTTTTTCTTTATTAACTTATTTATTTACCTATTTATTATTTATTTACTTTCTGAACCAGGGTATCTTTACAAAATTCTGGCTGGACTGGAACTTGCTATGTAAACCAGACTGACCTCAAATTTATAGAGCTCCACCTGCCTCTGCCTTTCCATCACTAAAATTAAAGGCATATGCCACCTTGTCCAGCTCCCATCTCTTCTTGTAATAACACAAGTCATGTGATCAGGCCCTACCCATTTGGCTTCATTTGCCTTCCTTATCTCTTAAGGCTTTCTCAGCAAAGTCACATTTTGAGGTACTAGGGGTTTAGATTTTGACATACAGATTTTCCAGGGACATAGTTCAGTTTATAAGAAGAAGAATGCAGTCAACAACAGACAAAGAAAAAAATCTATTTCTTATCTATTTTGTCTTTTTTTTTTTTTAAAGTTGTGAGAGCGGAGTTTCTCAAAGGTCACTATATTTGTGACAGGTAGAATAGTGATCCCCAAAGATGTGTACACCCTCATCTTCAGACCTGTATTTTGTTTGGCAAACAAAACAAAACAAAACAAAACAGAACACGATACATGTGAACCAGGCAAGCGTCTTGAAGTTACAAGGTTCTCCTGGATAATCAGCAAGCCCAGTCTAATCAATTACAGGGGCATTTTTAAGTGAAGGAATTTTCTTGCGCTCAGCTGGAGTGATTAAAAATGCAAGGTCTTTCTTAGCTACAGAGTGAGTCTGCAGCCAACTTGGGCTGCATGAGAACATCAGCAGCGATGGCTGTGGAAGAATGGTCTGAGAATTGCAACCCTGGGGCTAAGGCATATGGCTGGCTCCTTGAAATGGGAGAAGTAAGCAAAGAATTCTGCCTGATGGTGCCAGAAAGGGAACACTGTCTGAGACACCTTCATTTGAGCCCAGTTAGGGCTATGTGGCACTTTTGACTCACACGCTGTAACAAAACACATTTCTTTTGCCTTGAGTTACTAAATTTGCAGTGATTTGTCCTAGCAGGATTCCAAAATTAATTTGGTAGGCGTAGGCATCCCTGGAAGTCTATTTTAAAACGGCCGTTCTGATTGTATTGTCTGCATTTCTGAGGAGCCCCAAAGTGATGTCAATGTGCCAGGGGTTGTGGACCACACTGTGAGCTACAAGGCTGGTGTTTAACCCTTCCCTCAATATCACTGATGAAAGGATTAAGGGGGAGGGTGTTTCTCAGACACCATTCGGATGGGTTATGTCACTTGAGTGGTCTTTTATTCACAGTCCTGTTCTTTTGCCTCTAAACACACTTAATAATAGTAACAAACCAAAACAAAACAAGCCAAGAGCCTTCCTGGGAACAGCAGCCCTCAGAGGTGCCAGTGTTTGGAATCTTTGGCTCCAGAATGTCTGTGTGTTTATGGAGCTTGTTGAGGTGGCCGGGCTGACACTTGGCTGATATAAACTGTTTCTCACTACCAACACCTTTGGGAAGAATAACTGCTGCTCAAGTTGGGCAACAGGCCCGGCTGGCTTGCTTCTTTCCCAGGGTGGGCATCTCGGCTCGTAGGTGTCAGGAACCTCATGAGAAAGATCTCAGGGCAAACGGGCCTTTTCTTGTGACAGTCAAACGGGACAGTTTCCAGGGAGAGCCTGTCTAGGTCCGTCTGCTCTGTAAACTAAGGGCTGTATATAAGCAGAGAGGGGATGGTCTTGGTGACCCGAAGGGTATGTTCCCTGTTTATCTTGCTTCCCGAGGGCACGCTGTAATTATGTGCCAGTATGCTGTTAGCTGTGTTCCCTGAGATGACGCTGGTCAGAGGCTTGGAAGAAAATTATCAGGTTATCAGGAAAGGCACAGAGCTCCGCGCTAACATGTAACAAAAACCCAAGATTGGGTTGGTCTCTATCCCTAGTCACAAACAAACAAAAATCCTCAAAACCTCAGGTGGAGATGGCTCGCCAGTTAAGAACACTGTTTGTGGAGAGGACCTTTGTTTCCAGCAGCCATATCAAGAGGCTCACAATCACGTGTAACTCCAGTACCAGGGGATCCGACTCCCTCTTCTGGCCTCTGTAGGCTTCTGTGTGCACAGCAGCACACACACACACATAAAAGCAAATAAGTAAGCCTTAAAAGAAAACATCCTCCAGGAAAATCAGAAAGGAAAGGATTCGAAGAATGTAGCAGGGCCTTGTGATGAGACATTGTCATGTTGGTGTTTACGAGGAAGAATGAAGAAAGAGACATATGACCCAAGCTATGTGCAGACCTCATACTCCACAGATCAACGAGGAGAGGATTCAGAGGCCCTTGAGCAAGGATTTTCCAACTACTCAGTAAGAATCAGAACCAGGAGCCTGCCGAACCACACATTTCCTGGCTCCTGTTCCTTGATACTTTAAAACTGTTTATTGTGGAAAATTCCAAACATTAGTACAATAGATGGAAGGCACACAAAACCTGTCCCCAGACTCAGGAATTTTCATGGTGAGCAGAATCATAGCTTCATCCACATCACCTGCCCAGTGCCTTCCTGTTCCCTTTAGGGGACTGTGTCAGAGCTCAGTCACAGGCCCGGGTGTCTCAGGCAGAGCAAGTAAGTGCTGTCACCCAGGACAGAGGGTTTCTCACATATTTGTGAACACTAAAGTCTAGGTGGCTCAGCGATATCCTTGGGCAAACAGACATAACAGACCATTTAGTCTTCGTAGCCTCCTCTGGCAGCTCAGGCTTTTACTCTGAAGGATTTTCAAGTAGTGTTGGAGTTTGGCTGAGTGGGAAGATGCAATTGAACAGCAAGGGAATTACTGGAAGTACGGTGAGGGACTGCATGGCAGGAGGACCTACATGGAAAAGCTACATGGAAAAGGTGAAGGTTGTCACTGAAGCTAGGGACTTTGTTCCTGGTGAGTCAGCATCCAGATTCTCATAGGGAAGAACTTTGTTGCCTGGTTGGAGCCATTTTTGTCTTTTGGATCAGGCACAGAGTCAGTAATTATCTCAGCTTCTACCTAAGTGGTACAGACTTATCTCTCCTGTTGGAAGCATTTTTTAATTTTATTTTCTTATTCATTCATTTCTTTGTTTGTTTGTTTGTTATTAGGTGGGGTTTTTCTGTGTAACAACCCTGGCTGTCCTGGAACTCACAGAAATCCTTCTGTGTCTGCCTCCCACGTGCTGGGATCAAAGGCATGTGCCACTGAGACAGGCTTTTATTTGTTTGTTTGTTTAAGTCAAGGTCTTCTTATACAGCTCTGGCTGGCCTTGACAGCGCAGTTATCCTCCTGCCTCAGCATTCTGAGCTGGGCTTCCAGGCCTTTGTTACAGCGCTGGAAGCATTTCCCTTCTGGTATTTACATCTTCAAATAACCAGTCTTGGCGATGGGAAACAGACTCCTAAAATCCTTGATGTGAGTTATGCTGTGTTATAGTGAGATAGATCCTACTCCCAGTCACTGGTTCTTGGAACTCTTTTCGACCTCCATAATTAATTAGACAATGTAGGGAGCAGATCTATTTGGTTGAAGTTTTGCTAATAAGCCGGACGTTCCCCTTCATCTGCTAGTCCATAGGCCTGCGCAGAAATGCAGGGAGAGAAGAGCAGTTGCTGAATTTGTTGCCTCTCACGCATCCTGTGCTTAACCACACTTGTAGTGCTGACACTTCGGAGCAGACCAGGAATCCCGAAGAGCCTTTGTCAGGGCGTTTCTCTGAAGAGCACCACTTCCTTTCTTCCTTTCAGTTTTGGCAGGGAGTTCAGATTTTGTTGTTGCAAAACCTGAAAGCAAAGCTAGGCACGGTGGGCCCTGTCTCTATTTCTAGCACTTCGGAGGGAGGCAGATTGGGAGTTTGAGCTCAGCCTAAACTAGGAAGTGAGACCTGGTCTCATAAAACCAGCCAACCAATTAACCAATGAAAACTTACGCCAAGTCCGAACCTGCCTGGTATTAAGTTTACAAAGTGCTCTGCTATCCTGCACGCACAGCAGACCCGTGGCTAGTTAGGTCTTTGTGCTTATTGCAGATGATGTTGCAAAAAGGGTTGCAGGGAAACTATTGGGCTTACTCCAAAAGAAAGAGCGCTCGTGCAACATTTAACAAAAACCGTGGTAGACCCTGCTTGATCCCCAGCACCGACCGACGACTGATGTAAAGTAGAAATCAGAAAATAAAGGAGAATTTTAATCCCGAGATGGATATTTGATAGTGTCAGAGACTGTTTTGAACTTAAAAAAAAAATATTATTTATTTGCATGGTAGGGGTGCAAATGGTTTTTGCCAAGGCTTGCCTCTGGTGGTCTGAGGTCAAGTTTCCTGAGTTTTTTTTTTTTTTTTTTTTTTTTTTTTTTTTTTTTTTTTTTTTTTTCCTACCTTGAGTGCCCTGGGGATTGAATTTAGGCCGTCGGGCTTGGTGGCATGCCCCATTGCCTGCTGAGCTGTCTGGTTAGCCCCGAAACACTTCTGATTTTCACAAAAAGGGAAGAGACAGTGCCATAGATTTGGGGGAAAGAGAGTCCAGTATTATTGCTAAGCATAGACTATGCATGGGCTCTTCCCTAAAATAGAATTATTGGTTCAAAACTGTCAGTAATACTCAGTTGTAGCAACCCTGCAATCAGGGCTGGGGCTATGCAAGCACTTGCCTACCATTTGTAGCACAAGTTTGATCTCTTACCCTTCAGAAGAACATAGCTTATTTATATGTTTTTACAACTTGGTAGGTAACATAGTCTGGTCTGGAGCTCACCATTCTCCTGCCTAAATCTCCTGAGTGTTAGGAAGAAACAAATCACGGTTAAGTAATGTTAAGGTCAGAGTGTTACTGTGTAGCCCAGCCTAGCTGGACAATAATTTTCCCCTTGACTTCTAAGAGCTAGGAATAAAGGATTTCCCTATTATGGCTTTCATCCCGGCACTTGGGAAGTGAAGGCAAGGCAGATTTCTGTGAGTCTGATGCCAGCTTGGTCTACATACTGAATTACAGGACAGGCAGGGCTATGTCCTCTCCTACCTCTCTCTCTCACACACACACACACACAACACAATTTCACTATATCCCTTATTAAATTTTTACCTAGCGATTCTGTACAATGTAATTTATTTGAAACCCATTGAGTCTAAATGACACAATACTATTGGCAGAGGATGAGAGTGTAAATCTGATTCCAAAGCGAACAATAGAACACATTATTGTTGTTGTAGCTTCAGGGATAGAGTAGAGATGGGAATTAAATCTTTGCTCATTTATTGTTATACTTGGAGACCTTAAAGGCTTCAGCTGTTTCTGCTCTGTTTACTCTTAGAGGTCTGTCAGAGGCCTGCATGTTTGGTGTGACTGCCCTTGCTGAAGCTGCAAGCAGCTTTCTTCACAGATGCTATGCTGTGCTTAAATGCCTCCTTCAAGCCTGCTCTCCATGTGCCTTGCTCATAAAGAGTTTGAAGAGTTAATAGAACCTTAACACAATCGCAGTGCCAGCCTCCCGCCCACAGACAGAAGCCAGTCTCCTGTTATTAGAGTCACCTGGACCCTGGCACACCTTACTAGTTCCTAAATGAATGCCTGCTGGAAGTTTCTGCTTCCCTATCATCCCTATTCAACAACAACAACAACAACAACATTCAGCATTCTTCGTTTACGGTTTTAAATTTGAAGCCTGTGTGTCTGGCATTCCGGAAGTGACGAATTTATTTTCTGAATTGAAGACTGAACTGTCAGGCAGACAAAGGGTTTGTGTGTGTGTGTGTGTGTGTGTGTGTGTGTGTGTGTGTGTATACATGCTTGTAATTCCAACACGGAGGAAGCTGAGGCAGGAGAATGGAGAGTCTGAGCCCAAACAGCATAGTATATTCTAAGACTGTTTAAAAACAATTTGAACTCCAGTGGCACCATATCCTCTCTCTCAGCAGCCTGCTGCCCCTCATCTGTAGCAAATTTTATCTCCAGACATTTTCTGCCCCACACACCAGTCTCCTGTCTCAATGTTTTCTGTTCCCTCTTCTGCCCGGGTGGCATGACTAGCTGGAGAGCTGAAGCCCTGGCAACTCAGCTTGGCAGCTCATGCCAATGCACACTTGTGGTGCTGAGCTACAAGAACTCCTTTTGTCTGCTTTGTCTTTTTAGTTTCTTTCCTCTTAAGTTTCAACACTTGACCTTTTTGCAGAAATTCCATCTCTCTCTCTTTTCTCTGCACATGAATATCATTATAGTACTTGTGATACTGAGAACGTTAGCTGTCCCTTGAGCCATTTCTAATCCTATTTTTTTTTCCATCTCTAGTGTAGATGATGCATTTTGACAAGTATTTAGTACTGCAATCTTACTTCCCTGGCTTAGAACATTCATGAAAACTTGCAACTAGTCACGACTCGAATTTTTCTATTACTGCAGTTATCTTCCTTCCCAGATATTTGCAGATGAACCGTACCAGGACTACAGTTAGTGCGAGGAAGCTGCTGAGGGTAGAGAGTTGGTCCCAACAGCAAACTAAATTTGCTATAGGAATTCACTGATTTAGCCTGTGCCATAGGATGCTACAGGAGAAATTTATGTAAGGAAGCAAATATTTCACAGGAACATAAATGTCTTTCTATTTTGTCATATTTATATGGACAAAAAAAGGGGAACAGTTAAAATAAAGAAACCAAGAATGCACAGTAATTAATTTTTCTTTACATTTATTACATTGTGTGTGTGTGTGTCTTATGGTGTGGAGGTCAAAGGACAATTCTCGAGAGTTGTTTCTCTCCTTCTACCATGTGGGGTTGAACACAGGCTATGAGGATTAGAAGTGGCAAATGTCTTTACTTGCTGAGCCAACTCCACAGGCTTCACACAGTAATTCCGATGCATGAAATTATTCTAGTGTCACAGTGAAAACTACCACTAGCAACTCTCAGACCTAATTATTGAATAACTTCTGGTGTTTGTCTAAGTATTGACTTGGAATATATGGAATAGATGTTTAGTATTTAGACAATTCACTTGAATATCTAGACTTACATACAGCTGCTGCTACTCCTCCTCCACCTCCTCCTCCTCCTTCTTGTTCTTCTGAGACAGAGTTTTCTGTATAACAGTTCTGGCTGTCCTGGAACTCTCTTTGTAGACCAGGCTGTACTGGAACTCACAGAGATCTGCCTGCCTCTCTGCCTCCCGAGTGCTGGGATTAAAGGTGTATTCTAGCTACATTTAGTTTTCTTTTCCTCTTCATTTTCCCCCCATTTTCAGTAGCACAGGCTAGCCACAGTTGACTGTTTTCTCAGCCTTCTGAAAGCTGAGATAGTGGGCACAGTTCCTAGTTGGCAGAAGTGTATGGGAAGGATTAGGTGTGGCCTTGTTGGAGGAGGCGTTATTGGAGGTCCCATCATTGGCCCAGCCTTTCTCTCATTGGATCAACACCATGTCTGCCTGTTTGTTGCCTTGTTTCTTACCATGATGGCCATTGATTCACCCTTTGGAACTAAGGTAAGCCCCCAATTAAATGCTTTCTTTTAGCCAGGCGTGGTGGTGCACGCTGGTAATCTTAGCACTCAAGGAGGCAGAGGCAGGCAAATCTCTGTGAGTTCAAGGCCAGCCTGGTTTACAACACAAGTCCAGGAAAGCCAAGGGGCTACACAGAAAAATCCTATTTTGAAAAACCAAACCAAAGCAAACCAAAACAATCCAAGCCAACCAATGAACCAACCAAAAAAACAAAAACAAAAGAAAAAAAAAAACCAAAACAAAAACCCCTTTCTTTTATAAGTTACCTTGGTCCTGGTGTCTTTTCACAGTAGTAGAGCTATAACTATGACACTTAATAAAGTGTCCTTATTTCCGTTCTTACTTTCCAAATCCATGGCTTTGTTCCCAGCACTGAAAAAAATATATAAGCAAAACGAAAAACGCTAGAGGTGTGGATCAAGTTTGTTGTCCTGCTTTACCCTGCAACTTCTGCAGCACGTAAAACAGGACCCCGTGTTTGATCTGCTCATGAGGATGACAGATGGGCTTGGTGGAGTAACAGCTGTAGGGGGGCAAGGCTGTTAAAGTTTACACTAACAGACCAGCTGTAAGTTGGCAATTTTATTAAATTCCATTAAATTTTGTTAACAAACCAGAGATTTCTGATAGTTAATATCACTACCTCTTCAAACTCATGCCTCTAATTTTAAGTGATATTTTTAAGCATCTAGCACCTGTATGTTTTCATTACAGATGACAATATTTAAACAGGCTAAACCTACCTAAAATCAATATTTAAATGACTTTATCAACTCTCAAAGAAAGCAAGCAAGTTGGAACTGCTAATGAAATGATATATGAGAGCTTATATGATCCCAGGTACATGTGGTCATGCAGGAAGTAGCTGGGTCATTTTGATGGTTGTGTGTTAAACATGTGTGGCACTGATTTCCAACTTGGAATAATGGGCTATAAACAGCCAGCGTATATTGGCATGTAGAGGTTTAGTTTTAGTCAGGGGCAGGAGACAGATACTTTTGGGTGAGAGTGAGAAAAATATCTTTTATATTTAACAGTGATACATAATATTTAACTTAACAACTGAATGGACACTAGCCCACTCAAGTTTGTGGCTCTGGCAGGCCTTGCCCTTCTCCCCCATATCCTCTGTTTTGCTAAAAATTGTTAGATTACATTCCTAAAGCTAGCCTCCAAGGTCTATTTCCTTGTTTTTCAACTTCATCCTCCTGAGG